CACAAGGCGATCCTGACCGAGAGCAGGAATTGCGCGCCGAGCAAGAGGATAGAATTACCGCCTTACCGCAGCAGAAATATTTACAACCACATCAATACCCACCTCCACCCCCAGGACCACCACCCTCTAATCGCTTCTCTGCCCAGGAAGAGTCATTGCGTAAGCTCGAGGGCCGCGAATACGACGAGGAGGAAGAGAGAGATTCCAAAAAGCGCGAGTTCCACTTCCCTCCCATCAACACCAAAGGCGAAGTGCCGCACTTCAACTACGCACCTGCCTCCCCAAGGAAGATTCCCGAGACAAGCCCGCGAAACTCGGATGTGCCAATACGGCCTCCAGAGCTGGCTCACTTGAGGACGACCAACCTCCCGAGCGCAGGTCAAACCCGTCCCACCAGCACATTTGGCCCACCTTCAGGCTTTGACTTCGGCTTCCCGGAGACGCCTACAGAGTTCCAAAAGAGCCTGATGCGCTTTGCTTTCCCAGTGCCCCATCAGATCGATGGCGGCTGGAGCGTCGAATATGGCCGGCCGGACTTGGGATACATGCTGAAAGAATGGGCGACGGGCGGTGCCGACGGCAGAGGCATCCTCGGCAGGCGAACGGCGGTATTCGTGTGTGGGCCGCCGGCCATGCGTGTTGGTGTGGCGAACACTGTTGCCCGGCTTCAGGCAGCGATATGGGGCGATGATATGCTCGAGGAAATTTACTTGCACACTGAGAATTACGCCCTCTGAACCAGGGGCCTGTATTTGTAATGACTGGACGGAAAAGATACCACGGGTGATACATTTTACATCCATAATGACGAGCCTTCTATTTCACTTCACAAATCGATACGTGCCTGCTTCCGATATCCAATGTGGAACGTTGACGTGCTCATTCTTGTGGAGAAACTCATCTTGCAGGAGATCGGGATGAAGGAGGCATACGTGGGCTGTACAAGTGGGGAGCTTGTTTGACTTTGACGTGCTCGGAGTCGTTGTCGTCGAGGTACCTCGGTGAGCCAACATCACAGCATGTTAGGTAAACCAGCGAAGCTTATCTCCAGAAACCCTTATGACAACAATTCCACAGTAAGGTAGCTAGCTGCAAGGATGCGGATGATATCTCCATTGATGTATGAATAGGCGCCAGTGACAACTCCCTCTCCCTGTGTTCATGGCATCGCCCCTTGCATAAGAGTTGCAAAACTGTAAAACATGGGGAACGTCGGAAAAACCCAAGATTTAGCCCCCCCCCCCCCCCCGCTCGGACGATGCATAGGGCTGAGCTTGGGTTGCTACCCTTGCAGGATTCAAGCCGGTGACATCGCGACCTCTACGGCTCTGCCATTCTCTTACAAAACGGGCTGCACTACCCATCATTTGGCGTCTATCTTTTCACCTCCCACCCACTCACACATATCTTCTTTCCCTGTCTTGATTCTGAGACGGACCGACTATCCAAGGCCGTCTTCATGTCTTCATCCGCGAATCACATTAATCCACCATCTGCTTCAACAACCATAATGTCGTCAAACAACTCTTCATCTCCCACCGACGCCAATGCCAAGGAGAATGAAATGTCCGGCATCAGCATGGTCACTGCAACCGCCTACCTCCGCAAACTACAGCACGAGACGCCGCCCGAAGAACTTGGAAAGATGCTGGACGACATGGCAAGGGAACGCCAAGCTTCTCCCGAGGAACGACTTCGCAGGAAAGAAGCCAGGGCCCTGTTGGTGGCAGCGCGGAAGAGAGCGGAAGCCCATTCCGAGGAGCGAAGGGCTCAAAGAGAGCGGGACTTTGAGGCAGGGAAATGGGGGCCGATTGATATTTCGCGTCCTACTACGGAATCAACTGACAGCTAGGCCGAGAGGACTGAGTAGGAGATTCCTGAGCTTGATTTCTTTGGTGGGTTTCAACTGTCGCAACAGCTGGGCCAGCTCGGATATGAACCTTCGGAGGCTGGAGACAATTCTATTCCGTTTGAGGGGGACGGATATAGCGAATGCTTCCCTCAGAGTGCTGCTCTGTATGAATCGGACTTGATCCTTCCTTGGACGGACATCCGCAAGGAAGACTAGTAGACACAAGAGGAGGACGACAATTTCCTTCGTTCCGACTTGTATTGCTACATCGGTGTTCCTCTTATCGAGAACTCTGCCGGCAATGAACCATACAACGACCTAAATGGGTGGAAATGGGGTTGAGCGACGTGAAGATATCGCTCATTTGCCGTACTTCAGGGACGAAGTCAGAAAACCTGCGACATTGGGTCAAGATATCGGGATTGAACTCGCTGGGTCGCACATATGGCGCGTCACATGGCACTACTAGCTATATTAATCGGCTACGAACATGAATAATTCAATTAACTCCCCTCGGCTCTCGTGTGATTTGCCTTGCTCTTTGCTTATCTCTCTCAGCCGCTCGAAAGACCGCTATCGCAACTGCGGATGTTTGCGCTCCGCACATTGACGATATGGTGGACAGCGAGAACACCGGAAGTTCTTGGCAATGCGCCGGCCCCTCGCCCCAACCCCAGCCTCCACATTCTTCGTTATCCAATATCCAACATCAAATGATCGGTCACTAGTTCAGTCAAGTCAATGATGCGATAGTTTATTGCTGAATATTTTCCTTAGCTCTATTTCTCCTAGGCCTACTACTATCATTGCTATCATTGCTACTGTTGCTCTTGCTACTCCTGCTATTACTTCTGTTATCACTGCTATAATTATTATCCATTTCTTATGTATTCCTTGCAGGATACGCATTGGAAAGCCCATAGCAATGATGATAGTGATAGCGGCTCGAGGAAGACGACTGATACTCGTCGACTAGCATGTTGTTTTATCACCCACTTGCCACTTGCCAGTGCTTTGTAAGAAATTATATGTTCCGGAAATCTTCGGGGAAGCCAGTATGAATGTTTGGATCCTTTGCGCCCTTGAATTGACAACAACGTCATTTCCGTATCTCACGGTGATCTGTCAGCAAACAGGGCAACTGGAGAAAACCTATGTTTTGATTCGCCTAACGCCCCTCGCGGAGATCTAATCAAGAGGCCGATAGATGGAGCAAGTGAGTAGCGTTGAGAGAAAAAGGGTCCATGCATCTCCCCACGGCGCCTATTACCTTACCGTGCTTACCTTAACCAGCGAACTAACCCCGCACATCTCCATCTTATCCAATGCTCTAATCATGACAGACAGGGAAGAAGAGGAGGAGGAAGGGGAGAAAGCTCAGCTTCCTTGTTGCCGGCACTAACGCTAGCCGAAAGTCTCAAACACGTATAAAAACGGCGATCGGACGTTTTGTACTGTAGATTCCCCCTCATCCCAAACTGTTCAAGCCAGTCTATTCCAAACATCTCAACTTCACTTCATACTTTACTCTTTTTTTTTTCTACACGTTGATTACTGAACAGTACATACGTCACTATACACAATGGGTCTGAAGGGAAGCTGCATGTGCAAGGCGATCAAGTACGAGAGTACTGGTAGGCTGGCCCGATTGCAACATCGTGTGAACCACGCTGATGAGAAGCAGAGGATCCTCAAGTCACCGCCCTGTGCCACTGCACAGATTGCCAAAAGGTATCAAAACCCCAATATCACGATTCTCATAAAGTCCATACATGTAGCTAATGAAATACAGTGGAGTGGCTCAGCCTTCACCTCCAACGCCGTCGTCCCTCGTACATCTTTCAAGGTCACCCAAGGTACAAGAGGCTCTATCCCGTATCCTTCCCTAAATATGCGCTAAACCCCGATCATCTAGGTGAGCCCAAGTTCTACGATATCACTGGCGACTCGGGCAAGAATAACAGGCACTTCTTCTGCTCCAACTGCGGGTCCAGTCTCTATACCGAGCTGGACTTGATGGCCGACGTCACGTGCATCAAGGCCGGTGGTCTCGATGAGGGAAAGGCGAGCCTGGAAGGGAAGCCCGCCGTTGAGTTCTACTGCAAGGATCGGGTCTCGTACTTGGTCGATGTTAAGGGTGCTGATCAGAAGCCCGCTTTCAGTTGAATGATGAGACGTGTGCGGTATACATGTAGCTAAGATTCCTTTATAGGCGAGCATTGAAGTTGCGCGATGACATGAAATGAAGTAAATCAATCCTATTATACCCAATTGTCTCCTATAATTGGTGGGGTGAGACTTTCCCAAACTAAACTGTCCCACCTCAAAATCTCAGGCACAGCATTAGAACACCCTTCCCGTATACAAAACAACTGAAACCTTGAGGCTTCATTGCCACGGAATGTCATAGGGTCAAGACACCCTAAGGCCCTATAACGCAATAAGCGCAGAAGCGGACCTCGTCATCTCCAACTGGCTCTGCTCCGGTAGCGACATCAGGTTCTCAGGTCAAGTATTGGTTACGCATGGCCATAACCTCGACAAACCCTTGAAGAGCCAGCAGCGAGAGGAGATAGAGAGAATTCATTCGCTTTGAGTGCCCGTCCTTGAGGCAAGTGACTTGCCTCGTTTGATCATGAAGAATTCATCAGCAAATTTCATCGATCTCCCCGGTCGTTATGGCTCTTCAATGGAGGACAGCAAGGCTCGTCCAATGGGTGGAGGAGAAGCATCAACGTCATCAGTTTCCTGTGCCAATTGGAAGCTTGTAGCGGGTAGACATGGGTCAAAGGAGGGTGACAAGGAGGTCTTACGTCTTCCGGGCGTACTTCAGTCTTGATGAGACGGAGTGGGAGGGTAAACAGTGCATAGAATCTGTGTGCTGATGATGATGTAGCGGAAGAAGTCCTGAACAATGTAAATACTCCAGTCTCGAGTTAGATGAACAGTATAAAAGTTTATGAAATGGATAATACAGAGTAAGTCGAAGAGTCAGCAAAGAGGTATGAGTGAAATTGAATTCCAGGTTGATGTACCATTGTTATGTACTATCTAGTCTCCACTGTCATAGTGCATTGGTAATGGCACCCATTCTTTACGTAAAAGGCTTTAGTTTCCATAAGCTTATATCGCCAGAGAAGAGCTTATCCTAGTGCAATCTTGCTCTCTTGGCTCTTCCAGATGACCTGTCATTTCGTGAGTATCATGTTTCAACATAGTGCAGGTATGAAGCTTACCGCATTTCAGTGCCCCCTTGATTCTTCAGCTCCACATCCTCGTCCCATTCATAGTCGTCCCTCCCCTCCTTGCCAGCGCCGCGGAACAAAACTTTGACTTCGAGCTTCTTATCAAACCTCTTATACGCCTTGGGAGCGTCATCGAGGTCGTACTCTGCCGTAGCAATGAAACCAGGTCTAGCCTGTCCGCTCTCGACCAGCTTCACTAGCGCAGCAAACGTCGGCTGCCCCTGAACAATACCGCTCTTCATCGTCAGCGCCTTGATCCAAAAGTCACTCATCGGTAGACTGAGGTTCTTCTTCATCTTATCTGCATTGGGCGCGCCCACGCTCTTCTCCTGGGCCCAGTAGACGCCAGGTATCCCGATCCCGCCGCCAACAGAGGTGACGGCGATGGCTTCACGCAGGATGTAATCTTGCTGCGGCTTCAGCTCGGCATTGACGCACTCCTGCCCGCAGCAGTCGACGCTGCGATTGACACCACCGGGACGAAGAGCCAAGATCTGCTCCGAGGCCGAGGCACCACCCTTGGTAAAGTTGATGGGAATGGCACCGATGCTGGCGGCTTTGGCTAGGCGCTGTGGAATGTGGTCTACGACGTAGACTAGGCTAGCACCACGAATAATGGCGCTATAGGCGCAGAGCAGGCCCACGGGACCGCCACCAAAGATGGCCACGGAGTCGCCTGGCTGGAAGCCTGACCAGCTCAGCCCTTCCCATGCGGTGGGGAAGATGTCGCTGAGGAAGAGCCACTCTTTGTCGGAGAGCTTCTTGGGGATCTTGATGAGGGAGCTGTCTGCAAAGGGCACGCGAACGTACTCGGCTGGGGTAGGGTTAGGTTCTTTCTTTGTCTTTGTTGTATTTATTGGCGCAGATACTCACCTTGAAGGCCACCTAGGTCGCCGAAGTCTTTGCCAAGACCGAATCCACCAAGCTGAGGGAAGATCTGATTGTCAGTGTCGATGGACCCGTCTTCGGGAAGGCCAAAGACGACAACGCGATCACCAACTTGCAGATTGTCGACGGCATCCCCTACTTCCTCGACAATTCCCATAGCCTCGTGGCCTACTGGGTAGGGCACTTCGGCGCTGGACATGATGCCATGGTAGATGTGAAGGTCAGTGCCGCAAATAGCAGATGTGGTAATGCGGACGATGGCGTCTTCGGGCTCCTTGAGACGCGGGAGTGGGATGTCTGCTTTGACAGCCATCTCATAGGGTTTGCCTTCCCAGACCACGGCGCGCATGGTCTTGGGGCGTGAGGTTTGATGACTAGTCATGATTGTTGTTTTTCAGGAACTGGGAATGGTATGAGAGAGAAAGCTCAGTAATTGCTCTGTCAGGTATCTCCCTTTGTGGGCCTCTTTATAGATCTTTGCCGTGGTTGATCGAGAGACGATTTGTCAGATGCTCATTCTTTCCTAGGCGAAGAAGAGTACCATTCAGAACCAAATGGGACATATCTGACCCCTTTCTCGACCCCATCATCCCCGACTTGTCATTTTGGTGGCGGAAGATGTCACCTGAGTATGAATAGCCAATTCGCCAGGCCCAAACGTCGTCATCTGGGCAAGGGTCATCACCGAATAAGCTCGATGTAGAAGGGCACCTATGCCAAGAATGAACCCCGTGAAGCTGCTTTAAGTACGATTTATCCAATCCAACTTAGTCAGATGTTTAGCGAAAGCTGAACGGAAGTTCTTCCTCACCCAAGATGGTGCGCAGCCTGTATTCAACATCACGTAGGGCTGACCGTGTTACCCCGGCGGCTCTTGGTCTCAGGGGTTGTGGTAAGCTGACAGCAACCCCTTCCATGTCAGGGCGCCCGGCAACTACGCATGAACGACTGACGGCCCTTGCCCCTGTTAATATTCGATTGGAAAGTCCGTACGAGAAGGGGTTGAAGCTGACGTGAAGGTACCCGCGTAAGGCACGTGAGCCCATCACAGTTATGGTTTGGGTAAAGACATGAACGATAAGTCAAATGGGAACAGTCTGTCTCAGGAGGAGTGGATGTGCATTCGAAGGTGCGCGCAGCAACTCAGGTGTCTATGGTACAGGTAGTATTACAAGAATGGAGTCAATTGCATTCCTCTGGGTCGGAGACTGAGTGCACGACAATGGACTTTATCTCAGTGGAAGCGCTTAGGCTTAGAAACGAACGCGACCCTTGGTGAAAGCCAAGGCGAGCCAGCCAGCAATCAGAGCAAGGCCACCAATTGGAGTGACGGGACCGAGGAACTTGAGATCAGGGTTGAGGATAAGGGCGTAGATGCTACCACTGAACATGGTCGCGCCGGCGGTGAAAAGACCGGCGGCGAGGGGGTTGGATCGAGCGATGAGAATAGCAACGGAGTGGACGAGCTAATGATTTTCTTAGGGTCAGCTACTGATCTCACTGATGATGATAAGTGAAATAAGATGAGAGCAACTCACTTGATAGTGAGCGGCGGTGGACCAGCTGGCAATCTTTGCGGGATCAGAGATGCGGTTCTTCAGGCCGTGGGCTCCGAAGGCTCCGAGACCGACGGCGGTGGCGCCGAAGATGGCACCGACTCTCCAAAAGGCCTGGCTGCTCATTGTCTCTGTTTCCTCGGCGGTGGTATCGGGATGGGTCTTTCGTGATGGCAAGAGCGAAGTCGTCTCGTTTGCTTGAGCGCTGGACATTGGGGACGTGAGATGAGAGTGAGATGTGAGATGAACTGGTGAGATTCGGTGGTTCACTTCTGAAAGTTACGTGATGGGCCGGCGGGCTGAGAGCGCGAAACACCGAAGAGCGACCCCTTGGCATTTGCTTAGATAATCAAGCTGCAAAGTATTGCCAGCTGGTCCCGACTGGCGCAGCACTTCAGTTACTTATTTTGTCTCCAGGCCTTGGCGACAAGTTTAAGAGGGAACACTGGGACAAGAAAGGGGAAAGGACCTCTTGTCTGTCTACCATTATACAACAGAGTCCCTTATTAGCCGGCTCGTTCGGTTCGGGCTTGGTATCATTTGAATGCCGGGCCGGCATCTGTGGACTCGGGGGTCTTCCGTGCGTAGCTCCCGCCTGCGAGTTGAGCTGTCAACTCCACCAGGGCTCAACGCGGCACGATTCCCCCCACACTAGGGCAATCTCTCGCTCACCCCTTCAACAATTCAAATGGTCTGGTGGTGTAGTTGGTTATCACGTCAGTCTAACAAGCTGAGACTCTCTCACGATAATCTCAATGTTCACTGAAGGTCTCCGGTTCAAGTCCGGGCTAGATCATCCTCCTGGGCGATTGGTTTAGTGGTATAATGACCGCTTAGCATGCGGTAGGTCCTGGGTTCGATTCCCAGATCGTCCATTCTTTTGTCGTAATCGTGGGCTGGACTTCAAGATTGTGTAGTGATGTTGTTTTTGATGTCGCCGTGGTGGTTTCCGTAGGTGTGGGCGAGCGGCTACTCTATTTGAAGACAAATCTTTTTCCCGTTGAGAAGTCTTTGTCATACCAGAGGAAATGCTTGGACCGAAAAGTTTCTGAGTTGAAGAGATAGAAGGGGAATAAGACAATCTGCCAGCGTTCAACTCGGGTTCATAATGAGAGACAGAGGGCAATAACACCATGGATGTCCGTGAATCAGAATATTGAGGACACTGGTGCCCACCGACATTGTGGACCAGTCCGTACTCAGAAGGCTCTAATTGGTTCGGGTTTGGACTGCCATCGACTGTCCAATCGCTCACTTTACAGTACGCGCAGGGATAAATACGACGGACGCTAAGGCAGGCGCTGAGCTTCTTCGAGGCGTGTCACCCAGTGACGATCTGACATATCCGGACTGTGGATGGCGTTACAAATGAAGATATTTCATTGTTCTGCTGAAGTGATGCCTGAATCTCCGAGGCATACTTTGAATGTTGCATATTTATAGCTAATTCCATGAACAACGTCGGCTCGCATCTTCTCCTCATGGGTTGTCACTTTGAGTTCGACCAATCATCAGACGAACCGTCCAACGAAACCACCTTTGGACAAACGGACATTACGAGATCTCGCTAGCAGCCCACGATATACGCGTATTTCGAATTCTGTACGGATGATTATGCCTTCACGGTTTCTTCAGATATTTGACGCAGGACAGCTGAGTATAAAATCTCTGATCATCTTGAACTTCTTTTCGCGACATCAACGTTCTCTAGTAACCACAATCTCGTCAGAATCATACACTGACTGCCACTCACTCCATGAAGTCGAGCGAGCTGAAAAAGCGTCTTCGGTCGCACAGTGCGTGGTTCAGGGATATGCTTGTTAGCGGGGCTTGAGATTGGACCGAGACTTTAAAGGAGTCTTTCTGCCCTTCCCGATCTTGCTTCCGGTAATAATTCATTCGATGGCTTGATTTCTCTCTTGCTTCTTGAAGCCATTCCATCTCAGTGTATTCGCATCAGACGGGCTGCTTTTGCTTCACATTGGCCCGAAACTTGGGAGTGAAAACTCCTCCAGGAACATTGGCAGTTTTGATTACGCCACTTCGCCCGCCTGTCACCGGAAGCTCTTGGCAAAATGCGCCAGCGGACACCTCATCGAAAGTCAAGATTTGGGTGCAAAGAGTGTAAGCAACGTCATGTAAAATGCGACGAGTCCCGGCCGGCATGCGTCAACTGCACGACTGCTCTCAGGAGATGCTCATACCTCGACACTGAGGCGGCAGTACCATCATCGTCCACGTTCTCGTACCAATGTCCGAGCCCAGCAACATCAATAGGGTCATCAACAGCAAGCCCGGCGGTGCCCATCACCCCGGAGCAAGCGACTTGCCGTAATAGCCATGTGCCGACAGAGCCATACGATCTCCGGCACATGGAGTTGCTATACCATTTCGAGCATAACTTGGGCTACAACCAAGGGTTCGGCGATACTCTCACGCGACAAAAGTACCAGCAAATGTCACTGAAGCAAGCCTTCCGGGTGTCATTTCTGATGGACGAGCTTCTAGCTATAGCTGCAGCACACAAGAGCACTTTGCCGGGAGAAGATCAGGCTTTCTACCGCAGCGAAGCAACACGACTACAGACGAGAAGCCTTTCACGTTTTACGGTGGCTGACGGCGATCTGTCTGATGAAGACTTCCTTACAGTATTCCTGTTTTCCACCTGGCTCGGTCAACACGTTCTCTTCGACACGTTCTCGATACCCGCTGATCTTCCAGTCACTCTGGATAAGCTAGTCCACTGCATGGGCCTCCATCGGGTCGTTCGGAGCGTCGTAGGGGGCTCGTGGGACAGGCTCCGGTCTCACTTTGATACCCATCTAGGTGCAGGGAGCCGCTTCGTGCAGAACATGATCATCAGAAGAGAACGGTACGAGACAGGCAACGAATGTAGACATCTGTTGCGCCTCTTTGAATCGAGCGACCTCAACGATGCATCCAAGGCGGCGTGCCAGGAAGCAGTCGAGCACCTGCAGCTCATGTTCGACATTCATCGCAACACAGACATACCTGCAGGTCGGCGGTACAGCACTGTACAGGAGTGGTCAATCCGGGTTCCAGCCGAGTACGTCAGCCTGCTCGACCAAAGACGGCCCGAGGCGTTGGTGGTGCTGGCATATTGGGGCGTGTTGATGCATAAGGCGAGAGACTGCTGGGCGTTCGGGGCCGCGGGACAGAACCTCGTAAGGTCCATTGCAGCTCATCTTGGGTCGTATTGGGGGGAGCTATTGGCGTGGCCAAAGGAGATGACAGAAGCCCCTGTAATTTCGATATCAGGCCCAACTTGAGTCCGTCATGAATAAAGGTCCGTGAGGCGAGTGATGGGGATTAGTATCCAAGAATCAGCTTTCTTCGCCCAGTTTGAGGCGTGGATCGAGGCCGGATGACAGCTATCTTCGTCCTGTGCTCAATTGTGACATGCTACATCTAAACTTAAATGCTGCCAACCCCACGAAGTCTTACTTTAGCAGCTGCACATCCCCACCTATCAAAGACCCATGCTGAATTTCTCTTGAACTATGGTAACAAAGGACCACTGTATAAGCTACATGTAGTACGGAGCAAGCTCATGGGGCGGGATCATGCTGGCTTCGGCACGATCTGTGAGGGTCCCGCCCACGTGTTTCCAACAAGGAGTGAAGCAGCCTGAGTATTCGTCAGCTCTGCCTGGAAGACCAGGAGAAGCGGGATTACATGATTCTATCTCTGCTGCAGTTCTCCACCCAAATTATAATGCACTACTTCGATACAACGACACCGTCCAGGCCCTAGGGGGCCCAGACCAATGTGCCTCTGCATGACAATGCCGTGCTCGCTCATGGAA